TGAGTTCCACATTTTTAGCCCCAACGGGGCTGCGCTGATAAGCTTTTCTATAAAAAAAACATCTTATTCATCGATAGGACGCTTTTTTCATTATTAAAATTTCAAGGGCATATTCTCGTTATGCGTTAATAAGAAAAAAAAGTACTTATGATGATAGTGCCAATTATATATCAAAGCAGCTATTGCAGCATTGTTTCTTCATTTACAAAATAACTGGCTTCAAATAGATAATACAATCATTTTTACTATCCTTTCTTAGCTATTCACATTACTTTTTTATTTAGTTGTTTGATATTCGATGAGATGGTTTCGTCTTGGATAAACACAATTTGTTTGTTGATGTCCACATATTCCGTCACTGAATTAATTATCCCTTATTTTTGAGTTACTCTTTTATATTAGAGCTAACGATCTTTCATTATTAAATTCTTCTGAATCTGAAATAACAATTTTTTCTACTCAATGCTCTCTTTTCCCTTGTGTTTTCTCTTATGAGTGCACAATGAAAAAAAGCTCTATATATATTGATATATTGAGCAGCACTTATTGAGTACAAAAATTCTTTTCTATTACATCTTCCGAACAGATATATTGATATTAATTTATATTTAAATTTTTTATTGAAAAATGCCTATTACAGAAGAACAAAAATCTATTATCAAATCAACTGCACCTATTTTAAAAGAAAATGGAAAAGAAATAGCATCAATATTTTATAAACGAATGTTTGAAAATCATCCGGAATTATTAGATATATTTAATCAAACAAATCAAAAAATAGGAACACAACCATTAGCATTAGCCAATACTATTTATTTTGCTGCTGAGAATATTGATAATTTAGAAATACTTATGCCACAAATAAAACATATTACACATAAACATCGAGCATTAACTATTCAACCTGAACATTATCCTATTGTTGGAAAATATTTACTTTTAGCAATAAAACAATTCTTAGGTGAAAAATCAACACAAGATATTTTAGATGCATGGGCAACTGCTTATAATATTATTGCAAATATATTTATTGACTTAGAAAAAAAATTATATGATGAACTTGGTCCAACTGAAGAAGATAAAGGTTTTGTTCCATTAATTATTGTTAAAAAAGAAGTTATTGCACATGAATCAATAGTTGCATTAACATTAGAACGTCCTGAACATGGAAAAATGTTTAATTTTCATGTTGGACAATATTTAACAATTCGTATAAAAAAAGATGGAAATTTTCATAATCGACATTATAGTCTTACTCGACCATTTGATGGTAAAATTTATTCGATTGCTATTAAAATTGAAAACATGAATGAAATTAAAGGTATTGTTTCAAATGAAATAATAAATAATTATAACATAGGTGATACAATATTAGCAAGTTTTCCAGCTGGAACATTTCAACTAGTTGGAAATGGTAAACATCATTTATTTATTGGAGGTGGAGTTGGCATAACAGTTCTTTCATCCATGATTCATGAATTAAATAATCAAGGAAAATCAAATGATGTAATTTTAATTCATTGTGTACAGTCAGAAGACTATGCAGCTTTTAATAATGAACTTAAAGCAATACTTCCACAAGGTCATTATCAATTATTTTGTAAAGATCAACGATTGGGAAAAGATACTTTAAACAAAATATTAAAATCTGATACACAAGTCTATATATGTGGTTCGGCACCATTTATGGATAAAATTGAAAGTTTATTAATTGAATATGGTCATCCATCATCTCAAATTTATGTTAAAGCATTTCAACCAACACTTAGTACAACCAAAGATGCAGTCAAGGATGAAGCAGAAACAAAAGTATTATAAACATTACAATGATAAAGTATCATCAGCAGACTTTGAAGACTGTTTATGATCTTTTTTCAGATTATATATGATAAGATTAAATAATATAATATTTTATGTAGAATATAGAAATTAATAAAACACTACGTCTTAATTTATTGCATTGCCTTCGTTATTCTTGATTTATACTCTATAATTCTTCTTTTATTTGATGAGGTAGTATAGACTTTCTCAAATATGAAGAAGAAAGCATACAACGGATAAAAATAATAATGATATTTACCTCCTTTCAATATATCTATATTATGCACGAATAAAATATATAAAAAAGAAGACTGTAATATACATTGCACACGTAAGTATATTATATTATAGTTTTGTTTAAAAGCATGTTGCTTGATAAAACGACAATATTGTGAATATTTTATATCGTTAGAGCATGTATTTATGATATAGTAGTACAATAATCTATATAAATCATGAAAGAATATTATTTCTGCTTATTTAAATGTCTAGTTGAAGTTAAATTAACTGTCCACAGAAAGAAATATTTCAGGTCCTTTTTGAAGTATGCGCTGATATTTTGTTTAAAGGTAGATTTCAATGTCATTTATCAAATTTTGAAATAATCTAGGATCATAGACTACTGGAACCAAGTTACGATTATTGTAACTGAATCTTTTACCTTAGATAAGGTGCTTGTACAGCAATAGTAAGATGATATTTGATTCAATGATAAGCCTTATATTTATCAGAATATACTAAAAATTTCTCCATTATTTCATAACTGTCTTGAGTAAGATTAGTAACAGAATCATGAATTTGAATTTTTTTTGAAGCGTGACATAGGAAAATGAAATCTACTTCCATCAGATATTTTTCTTGCTAATAGTACATGAAAAAAGCTTGATAAAATTTTAAATCGATTATACCTTAGAAGTAAAAAGTATATTTTCTGTACATAGTAATACAATCACTTCACACTTTTTCTTTCTATCGCTAAAACAAACATCATGTATATTTATCGATCACTATAACTCGACTCGAAAAGATTAATTTCTCACTTTATTTACCGATAGCATGCAGCGAAGAAAAAGTAATTTAATATGTCTATATGTCTTCCTTCTGCTAACAAAAGGCTATGACTTTCAATATATATATATAAAATAAATATAACAAATAGAAGTAAATATCGAAAATGGTTTATTGTTGTTAATGATGATGAATTATTAGTAATTTTTCTATTATGATATTCTTCTAGCTTAATACTAATTAATATTGATTGTTGTTGTCGTATAGTTATTTTATCAATTAAACTTAATATTACATTAAGATATGGATTATCTTCATATATTGAATATAGAATAAAATAATCCGTTATTATCTAAACTGAAAGTTTTTTCTTCTTCTCATAATTTAATATATATATATATGTTGTATCTTACTGGATGAAGTTTAACTGAAATAATTTCTAATTGACTTGGTAATTGTACAGTATTCAATAGATAGAATACATCATTAACTAAAATGATAAATATATGAGATTTCTTACCGAATGAATGAACATTTTGCCATAACAAAAGTAATCCTGATTGATTTCTTGTAACAATAAGATCAATTGGCGGTAATGATGAAAATGTGTCAACTTCAAAATCACACATCAAAACTAAACTATGCATAATTAATTAATTTTATATCTTACTTGTTCTACGATCTGTTTGACATGGTGGATATATTGAACCATACACATCTGCTAATTCCCATAAACAAACCATCTTATGTGTGTGAGTGGATATGTGATGAATTTAACAACCACACTCATAGTCACGCGTACACCCACCCTACACCTTAGTAAGTTACATTCACGGTTAAAGTTTTGACTCAAAATCTAATACTATTGGGTTTCTACAGCCAACTTAATATTGGCAAAAATTCAATTTTTTCGCAACTTCAATCCTTATAGCTTGTGGTTGACAAAAGATAGACGCTTGAAAATTCTACCATGGATAAATCTCGAAGAGTTCTATCATTGCTTAAAATTCCAACCGTATAGATCCTTTGGAGCGTCTGGAAAGCGGTTCCGAAAAACCGTTTTTTTTTAAACTCGGTTTTGCTGGTCGATTATCTTCGGAGATATGGGTTCATTTCGGACCCACTTTCCATAGTATCATTGTACTTGACCTAGGCTACCACCCCGTAAAAAGTCAGTGTGAGATCTCTAGAAATGGCTCAGAATGGTGATCGTCTTTCGGAAGGTTTTTCACATAGTCCATATTGATGCATGAGTTTGACGATCAATTTTGAGTGTTTTTTTTATTGAAACCTAGGTAACTTTTTATGGAGAACACGATGGTGATACTCATTTCTCTTCATCGAAGGACTTTTTTCTCTAAAAACCCCGAAATTGAACGTTAATTAAAGATTCTTTATAAAATAATTTATTTTATTAAAAATTTCTCTATTAAAATATAAAAATCAAAAAAACAATAAACTTGAAGCTAAAAATAAATAAAGAACATGTTGAACTGAACTATGGAACACTGATTACACATTCGAACATTCGTTATAAAATAGTGTATTTTCTTCGCGATGTCCGTGCAGGTGTCAGTGTGAGTGAATAAAAGATGAATCCAGACTCAAGCCCATACCCCCAATGAAATTACGTCATTATATTCCGGCTCTAATGTAAGTTTAATGTTACTATGTAATGAATTAATATAATATAATATTTTTAATGCATATTCTTTCAGTTCTTAACTTATTGTAAATATATCATCTACACAGTACATTTATTTCTTAATTTAAAATTTTGAATTACTGTTAGATGATGTTGTTCTAAATTAGTAATAAATAAATCGACTATAGTAGGTGCAAGTGGAGAACCCATATCGCCTCCGTCAATTTGTCTAAAATAATTATTATAAAATCGAAATTGTAAATCTCTTACTGTGAAATTAAAGAGAATAAATAATTCATTTTTTGTGCTTCTATCAGTTTATTTGCTTCATCAATTGGTATGTTAGGATAAAGTGATTCAATATGAAAAATCATCATTTATACATTATTATTAATTTGTACTTTTTTTTATTCACTTGATAAAATTAAAAGAATCTTTTATATATAATGAACTTTGTATCACATTTTAGACAAAGAAAATGTGTCAAGTTTGTAGTTTGATGCGTAGCTATAACTGGTCGTAGCGGAATGTTCGTTTTGTGTACTTTAACTGTACAATATAATACCGAAGTTGAACTACATGATACAAATAAATCATCGTAAATCGTTTATTAATCCTTTTTTTATCAATACTTGATTCGTCATTAGAGTTTTTAATCAATTTATTACCATCTTGTTACAATTGATTAATTTTATTTATATAATCTGATTTATCCATACATACCACTGCATTATCTTTATCAACATGTAACATGATTATTGATTTATCCATTTTTAATTCTTTTAATGTAAGATGTACTTCTTCACTTAATTTAGAAGCTCTTTTATTTTTTAATCTCTTAATCATTTCATTATCAATTGGTTTAGTTTGATTAATTAATGGTACTAAAGTAATATTTCTCTATTATGAATCATCTTTAATTTTTAGTCAGTTGTATTCAAGGGTGTGGATGAGTGTGATTTTCTTCTTCACGCACCCACACCTGTAAGGGTGTAATACAACTTGTATAATCAACTTTTAATTTTAATATCAAGTCGTTTATTGAGTTCTAATCAGAATTTAATTGTTTGATGTATAGTGTCTTAAAAAGACTGTAATATCATGCTCATATTCTTCTGAAAAGAATTAATTCTTGACACATACAGTTTCTTCTAAAACACCACTGAACCAAATCAAAATTTTGATCAATTAATCTGTGCCATGCATAAAATGATCTCTAAATATGGGCATCATAAGTTTTAAAAGTGTTGTATGAGATAAATGTTGCTTTCTAATAATGCCAAAATAGTTGCACATAAAACAAAAAACAAATATCGTCTAACTATACGCTTTCGTATTTTATTATTTTTGTGTATTTCGTTAATGTAAGAATACTGTTCAATTACTTCCATTTTTTTCTCCGAATGTTATTTATATATCATGTGCGTTTCATACAATCACCCGAACAAGGAGATATATGGTGTTACTTCGGTTATGTAAGGTAAAGAGACCAAAGCAACAACGCTTGTTTACGTACCAGTGAAGCGTATAGAGACAAGAATATACAACTCTTCACTCTGTATATATTCCTTTACTTATTTGCTTTCGTTTAGTTTCAAAACGAGTGTTTGCGACGCTTCTGTTTCGACTTCAATCTTATTGAGATATTAATTCACAGTAATTACCTCTATACCATTTCTATTTTGTAAATATCGTTCAAACAATATCTTTCATATTGAAAATTATTCCATTGTTGAGATGTAATGTAATTACATAACTAGCTCTTTGGATTCCTTTAATTCATCAGATTTATCTAATGACAATATGGTCAAAAAAATATGAAAATCTAATTTTTTATTGTGAAAGAGGTATGTTTATTTCGAATAATGTATTCAATTAGATTTAAATTGGTTCACGTCTTATGGCATTGTTAGAGTGAATACTTTATTTTTTTTGATGTTATACGTGAGTGTATGGTGGGATTATTAAGTGAATCAAGAATGTCAGCTGTATTGTAAGAAATGGAAGATACGATTGAAGAGAAAGAAAAAATGTAAGTATATTGTATTTTGTCCTATTTTTTTGTTTGGTATTTTTTTTATGTTATAATATATATACCATGTGTCCGTCTTATTTTTATGCAATAAACGATACGATTATTTTAAAAGAAGCGACGACTGCAAAGTTAAATATGATATTTTATACATTTCTATTAAAGTAAGTTTGCTTTATGCCGAGGGTGGGTGAGTATGAGTATATTAGCCATAGCACACTCACACCCTCAAGATGTAACGTTTAAAAGAACTTTTTTGATTAACAGGAAAAATGAACGACGATATTATGACTTAGTATTATGTCCTGTCAATGGGTGTACGTGTACTTTCGAGTCAGACGTCGAATTACGTGAACACATTGCATCCAACTCACATACAGTTCCGAAACAAGTTCCACGAACAGCAAACGATGTAGCTCGAATGCATTTAGCAGAAATGGTACGAATTACACGATCGTGTACAAAAGCGAAAGTTGCTCAACAACAACAACAGCACAGTTCGATTTACGATCTATCAACGTAAAACTTTTTCTGGAAGAAATTTGGCTTCAGTCATTCAAAACAAACTCCCGAATCATACCCGAAAACATTCAACAACAGATAAGAACGAAAAGAGATGAAGCTGGAAAAAAATATTTTAAAACGAACGAATATCCTTCAAAAAATCAAATACAGTATCAATGTCGAAAACTTTCCGCCGAATACACTGTTAGTTCGCGGCAACAGCTTATCGTCGAACTTATTGATGAAAATATAGAGTCACCTAATAACAACAATAGGTGTGAAACACTACATTTTACAAACTTCATGAAAATTCTTACTAATTACAAGAAAACATATTAACATACATTACTTACTAACATTTTAATACTATAACTTAACAAAATAATAAAGAAATCATCAAAACTTATATGAAAACGAATATCTTCATTTTAAATACTGCCTTCGAACGTTTATTTTATTGTAAAATAGAAAGTGTAAACCAACATGTATCACAATTTTTTCTTTCTATTCTTGTTTTTTTACAAATATTTATTCCAAAGAGCAACGTACATGAAAGAAAAATACCAATATTACAGACGTGATTGCATGAGGCAGAAAGAAAAATACATTTAATGAAATAAAAAAAATAACAGAATATATTTTATTTAATATTTTTAAAGAATAGAGGGTAGAATTTTATTTCATATGGGATGCTCAGCTGTTAATCAATGATGTCAGTTCAATATCTTTGTCTTATTATTATACTTTAATAAAAAAAATTCGAATAGAATACACTATTTTATAAGGGGATATTCAAATGTTCAATTGGTGTTCAATAATTCCAGCTCAACATTTTTTTTTATTTTTTAATAAAGAAATTTTTCATAAAATATACTATTTTATAAGTAATATTCAATTAGCGTTCAATTTAAGGGGAGGGGGGGTTGAGAAAAAGAAGTATTTTGATCCAAAGAAATGAGTATTACTATCGTGTTCTCCATAAAAAGTTAGATAGGTTTCAATAAAAAAAAAAATAAAATTAATCGCCAAAATCAAATACCAGTAAGGACTATGTCAAAAACCCTCCGAAAGATGACCTCCGTTCTCAGCTGTTTCTATAGATCCCAAGCTGATTTTTTTTATGGGTTGTAGCCTAGGCCAAGTACTATCCAACGATGAAAGCCCGGCCCAAAACAGAACTGTATCTTCGGAGAAAATAGACTTGGTTTTTCAAACACTGATGAGTCTTTAGAGACTCAAAGACTTAGGATTTCGAACCAAAATTTTTACCATAAATGTAACCTACTAAGGTGCATATTTATACAAAATTTCAGCACAATCGGCCTAGCCGTTCTAGAGATATCGATCGATTTGTACCCCGAATGGGTGTGGGTGTGGGGTAGGTGTGGGTGTGGGGTGGGTGTGGGTGTGGGGTGGGTGTGGGTGTGGGTAAGTATTGATCTGTTCTTCAGGCACACCCACACGCATACTCACTAACACCCAAACCCACACCCTCAAGATGGTTTCCATTTCAACTCTTAGCAGATGGCATGTGGAAATTTTATAAATATCTTTTTTCTTGAGAGTGTGAGTCTGAGTATTATATCCATCACCCATCCACACCCACCCTTAAGATAGTTTCAGTATCATTCCCAAAAAAAATTGTTTGTTCTCTTCTCAGTCTCTTTCCCGGAAAAAAAACTTGTCCGTCGTCTTCGTTATAGTCTGGTACCCAGAAGAATTTCTCTGCTTCCATAACTCTATTCTCCTTCATGAACAGAAGTTATTTTTCTTTGTTTTCATCCTCCCTTTCCCGGAAAAAAACTTGCCTATCTTCTTTCTTATAATCTGGTTTCCGGAATAATTTTTTGCTTCCATTACGTCATTCTCCTTCACGAACAAAAGTTATTTTTCTTTGTTTTGACACTCCCTTTCCTGGAAGAAAATTATTCCAACTTCCATAAGAAGAAAAGTAAATGATTTCATAGCTCGACGGTAGGTAGCAGGTATGGTGTTGCTATTTGTCTTTCAGCGCATAGACATAAAGATCGAAGATTGTTTCGAGTATATATCTGTGCAACGAAGCTTTCAACTAGTTAGAAGAGTAAACGTGAGCAAAATAATCTCACCCTCGCGTATATCAACTATAGTATAAGGGAAATGATCTTGTCGAGCACAGTCGGTATTTTGAAGGATTATGGTCAGGAAGAGTGCGAAAACAATCTTAGAGATGTAGGTAAGGATCAACAAAAGATATCCTCACATGTATTCTATAGTAGTTACAGGAGGCTTCCAAGACTTTTAACCCTCCGGTGATGTTCGCTTTTTGTCACACGAATGATGGATGTGGGTCCAAGTGGACCCAAATGTAAATACATAAGGAAAACGTGAAATTTCATCTGTAATGTACTGTATAAGATAGATCAAGGTCTATGTCATGATCTCTTTTCAGTCACTGATGGATTGATACGCTTCTAGTGTACGTAACATGCTGATTTTTCAAGAAAAAAAAATTACGATTACCGTGAGCAAAAGTTAAGAGAATGGTGAAAATATTTCGATAGATAAATAAGGATAGAGAAACATATTATTCCTTACTGGCAGCAACAAACTAATCAATCTTCAATGAATAGACCTTCGAAATAATAGATGGCGTACGTAATACGAATTAAAATCATCTATATAACGCAAATGTTGCCAGGGGATCCAAACGGATCCACACTCTAGTTTTTCACTGCTGATAGTTTTGCAAAGAACTTTATATGGTTCGTATGTGTCATTAGAAGATTAACGATTAGCGAAAAGATCGCTTCGATTTGCATAGATCTTAAAGTAGAAAAAAACAAAAAACCACTGTTGTGGGTCTCTTGGGCCCACAAACATTACCGGAGGGTTAAGCACTATCAACATACAATCTCCAAAAGATTGTGGGGACCATCTTGAGGATATGGGTATAGATAAAGAGTAACGATTCTCACTCACCCACGCTGACCCTTCTTTCAATGTAATAAATGACAAATTATCAAGTGTGATAATACATTTCGATTTCTAATAGAAGTTATCACACTGATTTGTTAAAAAATTCATTAGAATTACATCAAACAATCAATTATTTGGAAAAACAATTCTATATTTGATTGATTAGTCTCTTAGAAAATGTTTCTCACAGATCTAAGTGATCAAAGAACAAGTAGGGAAACAGAATAGCCATTTGTTTGTCGATACGGTATGTTTAGAACCGTCTTTTTCTAAGCCAATCCCAGTTTTTTTTCTTTCAAAACGCTTTTCAGTACTCTCATTGTAAAGGCAAAATTAGTTTCATCTTTTTACCCCATACTGGAGTGAAAGAACGGCAAAAACAAATTGTAGCAAGAAAGAAACAAACACTTTTTTATTTTTTCTTTAAATAAGGAAATTTTTCTTTTTGTTAAAGATGAGAATGAATAGAAGAAAGGTAATGAAAAAAGAGTATTTCATTTGTTTCACGTTCTACAACACATTATGCGTTCTCTAATAAATAGAAGTTTTCATCAGCGTCGATCGCCGCTTACATTATATCATATTATTTTTGAAGAGTATGTAGAAAAATATAAAATGTTGGTTTCCATAGTGCAGCTGCTTTGCGGAGAAAGTAGTATGCAACTACTGCCTAATTTTTCTCTGATACAATGCTGTCGAAGAAAAATCTTATTTTTTTTTCTCGTTTCAACCAATCCGATGTTACATTGAGGAATCATATTCATAGAAAAAAAACCTATATCACATCGTTTCATTTATAGTTGGAAAGAAAGAGGAGAGAGCTGTTTCAAATAACGTTTCGTTCGCAATATTAATTCAAATAATCAAATACTTGGTGAGTATTATCTGTCATAAATAGAAATAGAATAAAATCTAATACCGGTTGGAATTCAAAGCGTTTTCTCATTGATATGTTGACAAAGGAATTGCAAATTGATTAGAAACTCACAAACAATGTATTTTTCTAAATGATTCTTGATTTCATCTTTGCAACTTCTATCATTTATCAAATGACGTTACTCTGATCAGTTATATAAACTTCAATATAAAATCAGAGATGACAATTTTAAACTATTTTGTGGCAGATGAATAACTTACTTAATTAGAAAAATAGCTTCTTATAGAATAATGACGTTACTCTTCAAAGACATCAGGTCCAAAATATGTGTAGGCAGTCATTTTGTAACGAATTTTGAAATGAATAAATATATTGTTGTTGAATAAGGATAGAATATTCGATGCGTGCTGCAGACTTTATTTTATTAGTGGTCACAAAGAGAAACTGGAAGAGTAGTGTTACCACTATCCTCGGTATATACGATGCTCACTATACTACTACATTATTCCAATTCTGTCTTTACAACATAAAACACTCGCTTTATATACGCACGCAAGATAGAATAGAAAAAGAAATAGAACATGCATTCTATTCATTACGTAAGAGTGAGTTAATTATGTCTGTCGGCAGCGTCACGACACTTGACAGAACATCGCTAATGCAGCTGTCACATCAGTCCAATAATGCATGCGTGATAGTATTACCATATTACATAACATTAAGGACGATGTACTACTTCCCTTCACGAGAAGAGGAACGAAAGAAAATCGTAAGAAGAGGAAAAGTGAAATGTGAATCAGAAAAAGGATGTCCAGCCAGTATTGGCACACATTTCTAATGGAGTTGAAACTAATAGACTTTTCCCGCTTGATCTTTAGTAGTTATACCGAAGACAGCTTTGACTTGTGAAGAAATCTACGTAAGGGTGTGAGTGTAGATAGAGAGCAAAGACTTTCACTCATCTACACCCACACCCTCAAGATCTAATGTGAATGATAGATATGGCATCCTTTATAGGCGTTATCTTAAATATAGGACAGTGCGCTATTTAGTTTGAATATGCTTTTTAACATGCAATCACATTCAAACACGACATTCATCTTGAAATTAACTGTAGAAAATGGAATTGATTTCGAGAGACACTCTGTTTTGCTATTATTTCTAATATAAGTCCAATAATTCAGTTTTTGTAGATTAAAAAGCGTTCATCTTGAGATACATGGATCCAGTAGCTATTCTGAAGGCTGTCTATAAAACGGCAGAAACTATTCACGAAATTGTAAAAGACGTCAAAGCTAATCAGCAACAATGCAAGCGATTAAACCAAAGGATTGATACAATCACATCAGCCTTGAAAGCAATGACTGGTAAAGATCTACAACGAAGTGAGCTTCGAAAGTCACTGAATAACTATCGCCATTGCATTGAAGATTGTTGTGAATTTATTACTCAATTCAATGACGAAATATCATGGTTTTCGAAGATCTTCCACAAACAAAACTATAAAGAAGAATTTGAAGAATTAAACCTTCGACTTACTCAATGTGCCGTTGATCTTAATTTAGGAATTAATTTGAAGCAAATTTTTGATCATAAACTGGATGTAAGCGACCAAGTAACGGATCTAGATGTTATCAAAAGTAAACTTGATGAAGTTGCAAAGTTGATGGCACAAAGACAAGATGAACAACTTCAATGCTTTGAGAGATTCGAGCAAACTCTCAACCAGCGATTTAATTCGTTTAAACATAGACTCGAACAAGATATTTTGAAAAGAAGTGAATCTCTGAAAGCAAAGAAAATTGCTGAAGAAGATCATGCTTTTTTAGATATTCCATATTACGATTTAGTGCAAGAAAAACGTATCGGACGGGGTGCATTTGCTGATGTATATCGTGGAAAATGGTTGCCTCAAGATCATGACGTAGCTATCAAAGTCATTCGAATTCAATATATAGATGAAAGAGTTAAAGAAGAGCTCATGAACGAAATTTCAGTGATGTACCGAATTCGCTATGATCATGTTCTTAATATATTTGGTGCTTGTATGGAGCCAGATAAATATGCACTCATCGTTGAATATATGTCTCTTGGTTCGCTTTATGATGTTTTAAGACAGCAGACATTACAATTCTCATGGTCTGATCGATGCTCAATTGCTACTCAAATGGTCAAAGGCGTCAATTATTTACACAAACTTCCAAAATCCATTATCCATCGTGATATCAAATCATTGAACATCCTTATGACAGAACATGGAAAAGACTTTCTTGTTAAAATTGCTGACTTTGGTCTTGCCAAAATACGTCACGAAACATTATGTCAATCGTCCTATGTGCCGCCAGTTGGTAGTTTGCATTGGAAAGCTCCTGAATTATTTAAATTAGGTGGAAAACATACAGAGGCTAGTGACGTATATGCTATGGGCGTTGTACTATGGGAACTAGCAACAGGATGTGAACCATACACAGATACTGATGTATCTATGATCTCTGTATGTGTTCTACAGGGACAACGGATGGATATTCCTTCAAACGTTCCCGGTTCGTTCGCGAAGCTGATTGCAAAAGCTTGGGCACATGAACAACAAAAGCGGCCAACCTGTCAAGAGCTTCTTAATTCAATAAAAGAGATCACCATGGAACTAGATATAAATAATAAACCAACGGTAGGTAATCATACTTATGGTTTTTTACTGTGTTTTCACAGGAGCGGTCTCGATGTTTAGAAAGTCAGGCGCTTCATAGAATTGAGCTATCGATATACTCTGAACCAGATCAATAAGATTCATAACAGCTTTTAAACAAAAAGACTCTTTACATATCAAAATGAACTTTTAGATATCTACCTCATCCTCATCTATTTCTAGACTGATGCTGCTTGTGTCAAACCCAAAATTATAATACGCCCACGTACAACAGGTAAGACTCGAAATTTTCTTTGCGAAGTGTAGGTGTGAGGATGCAAATAGAGCAAATGGTAGAGAATTACTCTGACGCCAGACTACTATACTCTTAGCAAACCAAAAACTATTGTCCAGCAGTGTCACATATTCAGGAAATTACAGAAGCTAGGGAAGTGTAGAGAAAAACTTGAGACACTCACCTGAATGAACACTATGTCGATACAATAGCATAGTTAGCCACGTCAGTAATGGATCATTGAATAACTCTATAACGAGGACCTAGCAACTCTAGACCAAAAGAAAAATCGGATTCTGATTGGTACTTTTGGATCCTAGGATCCATAAGGTTACTCAAGAGCCAATTTAGTAATTATGTTTATAACAAAATCTTGAACAGTTCTTAATCACTACAGTCGTTAGCGAGACTCACATAGTCATTACGTATGAGGGTGTTGGTGTAGGTGTGGGTAGATGAATGTATATCAAAAGGTACAATTCATCTACACCCGCACCTGATGACTGGGTAAATAGGCTCCACTCTTTTGAGCGATCACAAGCTGTCACAGGCCTATGTTTAACTCGCTACATCCTGTTGTTCACTAAATGTTAACGGTTGCTGTTCGATAACTTCGTAAACACAACCTAGTCTTGAGGGTGTGAGTGTGGGTGTGGATGTTGTGTCTTGAGAAACACTCATACCCACACCCATATACACCCACCCACATCCACACCCTCACCCACACCCAAATTCATCTTTTTCTCACTTTTTTAGAACAAAACAAGACGAAATTTAACAAATGGAAAGAAAATGGAATTATCTGTGCAGGAGGAAGTGGAAGAGGAAATCGATTAAATCAACTTGATTATCCTTATGGGATCTTTATCGATCATTCCAACAATATTTTCATTGCTGATTGTGCGAATCACCGTATTGTTGAATGGAAATGCCATTCGGACGAAGGACAAATTATTGCTGGGAAAAATGGAAGAGGAAACGGAAATGATCAGTTATCTCATCCAATGGATGTTCTTTTTGATAAACAAAATAATTCTCTGATCATTTCTGATTGTGGGAATAGACGATTAATCCGATGTTTTCGTCAAAATAAAACAAAACAACAAATTCTCATTTCTGATATCGATTGTTGGGGTCTGTCGATGGATAAAAATGGATTGATTTATGTTTCTGATCGAGAGAAGGATGAAGTGAGACGATGGAAAGAAGGAGATGAAAGAGGAACAATTGTTGCAGGTGGAAATGGAAATGGAAATCGTCGCAATCAACTCAATGAACCTACTTTTATCTTTGTTGATAAAGATGATTCTCTTTATATATCAGATAAACACAATCATCGTGTGATGAAATGGAGAAAAGATGCAAAAGAAGGAACTGTTGTTGCTGGTGGAAATGGTCAAGGAAATAGTCTCAAACAATTGTCTCAACCTGCAGGAGTAATTGTTGATCATTTGGGTAAAATTTATGTGGCAGATAGTGGAAATGATCGAGTGATGCGTTGGTGTGAAGGAAACGCAGAAGGTGAAATTGTTGTTGGTGGAAATGGAGAAGGAAAAGAATTAAATCAATTGAATTATCCCATTGGTTTGTCATTTGATGATAAAGAGAATCTTTACGTTGCTGATTATTATAATAATCGAATATTAAAATATGAAAAATCGGCTGATTAAAAGATTTTTTTGTTTTCATCAAATGAATTTTGAGAAAGTGACCAGAAAAAGAAAAAGAAGAAATTTGAAAAAAAGAACGTTTTTTTTGTGAAAAAAATAAAAATTTTGGTGGAAAAATAAAAATAATTTGAATTTGAGAAAATCTTTTTGCGAAAATTTGTCGATTAATTTCAAAGAAAAAATTGATTTTTGAAAAAAAAATAAAAAAAATGAAATTTCTCAATGGAAGTAAATTGAAAAATGAAATCTTTTAAGATTTTATTTGAAAATATTGATTTTCTTTTTTTCTTCTTCCTCAAATAAAAAACAAAACGAAATCAAACGATTTTGATCTAAACAAGAAAAAGAAATAATTTGAATAAATTTCTTTTGTTGAAATTCGAAGATTTGTAAAGAGAGGAGGTGGGTGGTGTGGGTGTGGGTGGTGTGTGTGTGTAGGTGGGTGTGGGTGTGGGTATGGATGCGGGTGTAAATGTAAGGCGATAAAGAAACACCCACATTCTCAAGTTAACGTTAATATGAAACAAAACAAAAAACATTTTTCATATATTTATTTCAAAACTATTGTAGTGGACAAAACTTCCGACCCTCGAGAATTTCACACTTCATAGGTGCTGAAAACTTATGATGAATAACAATGGATGGCACCTAGGGTGTGGGTGTGGGTTTGGGTGTGGACATCAGTTAGAGATCGCACCCACACCCTTTAGTTCATAAATTGAATTATCAATGATAATATCAAGTTCGAATGTTTTACTAATAGAAGCAATAATCGAAATCTGTCAATGAACTGATTCACATTTATTTTTATATTGATAATTTGTTCACCTTCAAAATTCTAGGATGAATATGTGTTGTTTTTCAATGAGTTGACAATTATTGAGTAAAGAACAAAAGTTCAGTTAATAAAACAAAATAACTAATTCTTGAGATATGTGTACGTTTGCTTGTTGAATATTAAACTGATGATATTAAAAAGTTTGACTCGAAAATATTGTTACTTGTGAGAATAAGATAAATTGTAAAGTGAAATAAGATATTTTTACAAAATCATTTGAATTGTTTTCTATTGTTAAATATAGAACTTCAATTGAATATTTATTCATTTAATTTCATTATTTTCTTTTATCAATAAAATAGAAAAATCATTCAATTTTTCTTCACCATTTTATTATTTATAATTAAATTTGGTAAATTATTTTGTTAACTAATACAGATTTCATTCTTATTGGTTTATCTTTTTCCTTCTTCCTTCTCTTTCTCTCTAGAAGTCATAAAATCACAAAAATGAATCTAATAAAATTTCTGTTTAAAAGTTTTTTTTATTAATTTAAATGTTTTTCTCAATTTGAAAAGCATTTTATTTGGTTTTTCTATAAAAATTAAATTTTGGTTGTGGGTGATCATGATAATAGCGAGATCCAGTCTCGCACCAAGCCACGCCCACTCCCACGCCCTGCATTATTAGAAGAGGTGGGTGTGCGTGTATGTTAGTTCTAATATACCCACACTTTACCCCACACATGTACTCTCATGCCCACACCCATCCCTAATCAACTTCTTATGGTTATGATGAAATTGTTGAATCACAATTAAATTTATGTTATGAATCAGAGATGTTCATGGCGGCGCTGCCGCTGCCGCTGCCGCCACCGCTGCCGCGCCGCTACCGCCGTGGCGTTCGCAGCGCGGCAGCAAATTTTATCATACTGTCGCGGCAGCGGCAGCTTTTTCAGGAAACAATTTTAAAAATTACGAAATTTACACATAATCTCGACATTGACGTATTCCGCAATGTAAAACTAGACGAGTCTCATCGATTAGCAGCAACAGCACTCGTTTAAACCACTATCAGCCTTGAAAATCCGAAGATTTTTAAAAGTCCCATCGCGGCAGCGTCGCGGTAGCGGCAACTTTTTATAAGGACGCGGTGCGGCAGCGGCGCGGCACACTTCTTTTTATTGTAGTCGCGGCGCGGCAGCGGCGCGTTAGCTTTTTTACAATATCGGCGCGGCGCGGCAGCGGCAGATACTCAACCGCGATGGGCATCTCTGTTATGAATCTCAATCGATTTTCATACCAAATAATTTCTTGGTGAAATCCAATTTTTCTCGATAATTCTAATAGATTTTGATACATATATAAAATATTAAAATTTTGTTTTCCAAATAAAATATAAAGTTTTTTAAACATATTGGACAAAGATATAATAATTGTTCATCCATTTCATTTTCACAATTAGTTCCATTCATTAAACATAAATAATAGATGCATTACTTCATGGACATAAGTACTAACAGCTCGTCTAAGAATCAGTACTTGTTCTTCATTTGAATATGATTCTATTGATGTATGAGGAAATAATGGATCGAATCGTGCAATTGAATAAATTGCAATTCCTTCATTGATTGATGCTTTACCATAAACAAAATTCCATTGTGGATTTGGATAAATATCAACCACAGTTACACCGGTAGAAAATAATTCCTCACGTTTATGTCGTTTTCGTTGCATTTTTTTCAATTGATTCATTATATTCGATACGAAATATTGTGATTGTTTTGTATATTGATTAATACGCTGTTTTATTTTAGAATCAAATTCAACTGATGGTAGGATTTCAGTTTGACACCCAGAAAAAAATATATGAGAAAAATCGCATATAATCATTAAAATCTCCAAATGGTTGAATATAAATTATGCTACATCTATATTAAATTGAAATCTTTTTTTTATCTAATATATAAATGAATCTACTAACGTAATAGATAGTTGACTTTTTCGTGATCTTTCAAATTGTTTTACTGTTTGTCCGGCGTCATAATGTTCACTTAAACACTCGTCTTCGTTTAGTATTGGAATTGATGGAAAACATTCATCAATGGCGATTGTCAGAGCACGTCGAATGTCTTTATCTGACTAGAAAAAATAAAATCAATTTTCTTTTTTGTTTTTATTTAATTTAATAAGACTTACATTATCTATTTCACCAAGCGCTTGAGCTCTTTCTTCTTTTGTTGGTAGTACAAATTTCTTTTTTTGACGATGTATTGCCATACTAATTAAACTTACTTTTAACAGAAATTTTTTTATGACTATTTTATTCCTTTCTATTGATGAAAGACTGATGAAATAACAGTGACTTATAATATTATTGTGGGAAAAAAAGGTAAAATTATGATTTGTCTTATTATTATTTTTAGATTTATTTTTATTATTATACTTTAATAAACAATTTTCGAAGAAAATACACTATTTTATAAGTGATGTTCAATTAACGTTCAATTTAAGAGGGGGGAGGGGGGGTTGAGAAAAAAAGTATTTTGATCAAGAGAAATGAGTATTACTATCGTGTTCTCCATGAAAAGTTAGGTAGGTTTCAATAAAAGAAAAATTAAAATTGATCGCCGAAATCAAATACCAGTAAGAACTATGCCAAAAACCCTCCGAAAGATGACCTCCGTTCTCAGCTGTTTCTAGAGATCCCAAGTTGATTTTTTTTATGGGTTGTAGCCTAGGCCATGTACTATCCAACGGCGAAACCCCGGCCCAAAACGGACCTGTAGCATGGGAGAAAATCGACTGGTTTTTCAAACAGTGATGGGTCTCTAGAAACCCAACGACTTAAGATTTCGAGCCAAAATTTTTAACATGAGATGTAACTTACTAAGGTACATATTTGTACAAAATTTCAGCGCAATCGGCCTGGCCGTTCTTGAAATCTCGATCGATTTGTACCCCGAATCCTTAATTTTTGCAGTTTTATGGATTTTCGTAAAACCTTTATAGAATCCGAAGGAATCAATATTTTTCAAATCGGCTTGCGTCAAAATTCATCAAGTACCTTCCTCTATAACATATCAAAAATTGAGCAACTTAGGTTGTGGCTTATGTGCAGTGACTCATATATATTTTTTTATTTTCATATAATAAACTACACAAAAACAAACACATCTTTATATAATCAAACAAGAATGCAACAACAAAAATCAGATATATCAAATTCCATCATATAAAAGATAAAAGCAGCCGCATGTCAAAATCTATTTCTTTCACTTATCACAAAAAACAATTGTATCATTCTTTAATCCTCTCTCTTTCTATTCACTCAACTTGCTCTGTCCTATTTATATGTTAGTTATTCAATATTAATGTTTGTTTTTGGGTGTGGGTGTGGGTGTGTATATGAACAATCTCTCCTCATCCACCCACACCCACACCCTGAAAAAATATTTTCGTTGAACAAAAAGAAATCAAATAAACATAAGATTGTACTGATAAAGTTTTCTATTTTACTGGAGATTTCAATTCATTCCCTTGAAATTTGTGCGTGAGATTTGAACTTCAAGTGGTATACATTGTTGAGATTTTTACGAACTTGACAAAAAAGTCTCAAGGACAAACTAAATATTTTCTGCTATTTTTACTATTGTCGATTCTGATAAAATATTATTCGATTTTATTAATAACAATAATCAATTATCATCTTCGTTATCAACAGATTTGTTTATTATTGAAAAGATTAAATTTATTTTGACTCAATTTCATCTAGGAGAGCAACAATTCGACTATTCAACTACGTCTAATTGCACTTTAAGTTCTCTTATGAAATATCTTGTTAATAATTATAATCTAGAATTAATATCATTTAATCATCAGTATCATTTCTATGATGAAATTGGACGATCTATTCATGATGAGACTATAGGAGATCTGTATTAAATGCATGGATCTCTTCCAGTGGTCATTCATGTGAAAGAAGAAGACAATAATACTATCCTATATGAAGCTACATTAATGTCAGACCAAGGTACGTCATACAAGCAGTGATCTATTATTGATAGTGAAGATATTTGAGTAATTTGATAGTTTATAGAGAGCATCGACAGTTTGTATTGTTATATTGAGTAATCATATGAATATGTAGACACAAAGAAAACGACTGTATTTCATCCAATGACACAATTGGATGAAATCGAAATTTGACAAAAACTGGTTTTACCTCAAATTGATTCACCTTGTGTGCTTTGGAATACAGATAAAGAAATTATTATGGATAAAAATAAATTAATTTCATCTTCAGAAATACTCGCCGCAACATTGACTGATGTTACTCTCGATCAAATTATTATGATGAATCTCTTGACTGGAATAACTAGCCAGATTATTGATACATTGAAAACTATTATAATTGAACATGTATTGGATAAGCAATATTTTTCAGAATTCAACATGAATATTATTGTTTGTCAGCTGGTGATCAAATACTCATTAAATCTGATTATCGAAAGCAGGTTGAGACATAGCAATGTAACGATAATGAATCAATTCTTTTTCAAGTATTGATTTCGATTAATATTCTGAAAAACGATAATAAAGAAGAAATAAATTTTTTTCTGAAAGATAATATTACAACTATCGAACAACTAATACAACAAATCGAAACAACCAATAACAATAGTTTATATTTAACATCAAATGATACACAAAGAATATTTGAACACAAGGAAAATATTGTGAATTTAAAAACACAAAATTTTCTCCTGATTAAAGAGAATGAAACATGTATTGTTTCAAGCCGAAATCAAACGAATCATTCAATGTTTAATGAGAATGATGAGAGCAGTACTGCTGTCTAACAATGATTTTGAATATCTGCAACAATGGATGATATTATAAAAGAAAACAATATCAATCATTGCAATCAACCACTTCTTTATGCAAATGATTTTGTCTCATCAGCCAATACACCTTTATAGTTGTTCATGCCAGCTATACATTTCAAATTGATTGATACTAATTTATCATCTACGGTTACAATTTTTCACATCGAAGATAATAATTATTCATTGACATTACATTGTTCATCAAAGATAGGTATTAAACGAATTTTAGAAACTGCTTTTCACCTGTTTCGAATAAGAAAGCGCTATTATTGTTTACATTGCAGTGAATCTCAAATAGATGAAGATATTCTTCTTGAAGATTTCGGTACTGGTGACAATATATTTGAATTTCAATTGATTTCCACGGCTACAATCAAATGCGTAATATCATATACTAATCAAACAACGATTCTACCATGTAATAAAGAAATGTCAAAGTTAGAACTTGTTAAATATGCATTAGAATTATTGCATATGGAAGACAAAGAGATCGATTCCTATGAATTATTTTTAATCATTAATGGCGAGAGATCACAAGTCGAAGATGATCTAATTATAGAGGAATTACTTCAAATGTTGTTTGACGAGATGATATCTACAGAAAGACAGACATTGAAATTTGAACTGGAAAAGAAAAGTGATTAACTCAATTAGTCTGTATTAAAAGTAGAGTAAATATAGTGATTTTTCTTTTGTTTTCTTTTAAAATAAACAATAGATATTCATTCATGATAAGATTATAATAGAAAAACATGATAGTATAATTACTTTGATCTGTGATGATATCAATGAAAGACTGACAATCTTTATTTCTGATTTTTTTAGACGAGATCGGTGATATTCGCGAGCAGTTCTTTCACATCTATATTGTGAAATTAATACCATTAATCGCATGACATTTATTCACAGATTTGCTTTCATCTGAAAGTGAACCATAATCAAAAGCAAATTCCCTCGCATTGTTGTCAGAGTTGATATTTTCACTACACATTTCGTTGTCAACTAAATTATTCTCACAAAATTTTATTTTTTTATTTTAATTATAAATCTCATTCGAAAACCAATGTAGAAAATATACGAAATGAATGATAGTTATAAACGTACCTGTCTTATGCTTTGCACATGATACATTCTCTTCTCTCTCATGTTTGTTTGTTTCGACTCACACTCCTCTCACTTGTCTTTTGCTCTTCTTCCATATTTTGTTGTTCTGAGTCAGAGAGGATGTGTTGGAATATGTGTATGCATGAGAGAAGGCGTTGACAGCGGTATATATATTGTTTTGTTCTGTGTATTGAATGTGTGTGATGTGTCTTCATTCTTTCTATATGGATTAGTGTTCGGTTATGGAATTAACTAACATCTCACAGTACCAAAATGGAACATGAAAAATAAACAATATGGAGTCTGTAAAACTAATTGCTATTGTTATATGAATCGCTTTTTTTCTTTTACTCTATTACTTCTGTTACTATTATATAAAAAATAAAGTAGGTTGTAAAGAGAGACAAACAGAACGGCAAATATCTTTTGCTTTCTTATATTCTCATTCATATGACGACTACACACTGTGTTTTGTGCTTTTTTACTTGAAATATATGTTAGACCATATAGATCAAACGTTTATCTCGTTCTCCTTCTTCTTCAACGCGTTGTTTTTCTCCTTTGACTTTGTTGGAAAAATTCAAAGATTAGTCGTTTGGTGTGACTCTTGGATTTACATTATGTTGGTTGTTGCTAGAGAAAAAAGAAAGAAGTATCAAGAAAAATATATTTTATGCGTCATAGTAAGAGAACAAACAGCAATTTCTTCCCGCAAAGTGCAAAACAAAAAAAAAGAAACGGTTGTCGTATGTAAAAAGTAAATCACCGAGGTTGCACACATACGTTTCATTGATAAGAAACAGAGAAGCACAGGCCAAACACCATCCATTCATTTCTAGAAGAATTAATCGCGATAAACATGAAAGAAATCCCTCGTTTTTTCAAATGTTTCGTCATTAGTGAGTTGAAAAATATATCTTTTACACTATTTTCTTAATACCATGATCTGCGACTCACACCATAATGAACCAATTATATATTTGTAGATATGTACATATGAAAGTCGACGCTCGTGAAAAATATACTGGTCTCCTGATCAAATAAACAGTAGGAAGGAAATCAAACCATGAATACAAGAATAGAAATATCACCAATATCTTATCGATTGAATAAAGATAGGGTCAAATTTATTGTCTTCATTCTAGATTACTCATACTTTGCAGTATTCAAATACTTCGTCAATACAATTACTGGTGAGTCGACGCACGATTAATACCAGTGTGCGTTTGGGGCGATGCTGTGGGTGTGGAATCTTCCTTTCTTTAGTTACATTTACATCGACACGTACCCACACCAACACCCCCACACTTACACCCTGAAAAGTAAAGTGTATTTTAATTCTGTATTTCCTGTTTTCAAAAAGAAACAATACTCTATGAGATTAGTTTTCTCTGTCCCGAGAAAAACATTTTTTTCTACAATAATGAGAAATGTAACGCTCTTAATAAGTCAAAATTATCTTTTCTCCATAGACAGACTCTCGCAGATCTCTTTTACCATGCCAAAAACTTAAATGTTTTCAAAGGTTAGTTTTATTACCCTTACCTTTCGGTGTTGGGTGAAGATCAAGACAAGTACAAAAAAAAAAGTAAAAAGAATTTGGTTGCATTTATGCACTTTCTTTGATCCTTTTCTGTAGCCAGTAGGGTTTATATCGTCCCGTTAGTAGGGGGCTAGCCTAAGAACAAGACAAGGTGGCTACCAGCAGCCCAGGGGCGCCTCTCACAGGTGCAATGCATCCGTGAGACCCTGTGGATGTTTACACATCCCTGGCAGGCGGTTTCAAAGGTTGCTTCCAACGGTTCATTCAGTACGATAGGAAACACCTTCATAGTTTGACTTCACCTTGAAGAAAGGGATTGAGAACCTAGTTTCATGGTATAGATTACGAAATCTCTTTTGAGGATGTAACATTGAGTTACGAATAATAAATAAATAACAGCTAATCGTTATAAAATGAATATAAAGAACGTATCTGATATTTAACTGATTCCACGTCAATGTGCAGCCAAATTTTGTGGTGAATAAAACATAGAATCAGATACTGCAATAGAACTATCTCTCATGTCTTATTTTTTAATGACTCTTTTCATATTATGAAATCAGTAGCTATATGGCACAAGAAACAATGTCGACGCAGAAGAATGGTTTTGTGCATCGTGAGATCTCTCAGTTACACGATACGAACTACAGTCCGATATATGGTTACCAAGATTTGCCCGTTACAACATTAGAAGAAGCTGTACAAACTATCCAATTATATGTTCCTAAAGTTGAAGAATATGTTAATATAGCTAAAGTAGAATGCAAAAAGAACACTGAACTTACGCTAGACGAATCAGCGACTATATATCTCTACACAATGCCAACTCCGTTTCATTCTAGACTCAACCACAAACTGCGAGCTGAAGATGGAGGTGATTTGAAACCGTGGTTAGGTTTCTTGAAACTATTCATTACAGCTTTGGGAAAATTACCGTCACTAGCGACTACGGTGTGGCGAGGTGTTGCCAAAGATATTAGCAGCGTTTTCTTTGAAGATTTTGAGTACACATGGTGGACTGTGAATTCCTGTTCGACAGATCTCAATGTCATTCAGTGCTATATAAATAAAGACGCCGGGAGAGGAACTGTATTTGCGATTGAGACACTACATGGCAAAGATGTTTCCAAATACTCAGCTTTTCCACTGGAGAAAGAAGTCATTCTCATGCCTGGAACTCGTGTGTATCTCAAGTGCCAACCACTGGAGATCAAGGATGGGCTCCGCATTGCTTGTTTTGAAGAACGGTAAGTTCATGTAAAAACGCTGCCACTCTAACTCATTCTTGCGCTAGTGATCAGAATCATTAAATATCGTAGTCTATGACTTTATCTTGTATACATCAAGTCTCAGTGATGCCGAGGATGAGGAGAAAATCAGTCTTCTCACCTACAAAGAGGGAAAAGCTGCTTGTAAGTAATGGAGTTCTTCGAACATTGTTGCCTGCAACTTGCAATATAGATGCACTATGTCTCATACATTGACATCGAAAACCACAAGTTGACAGAAAGCTCGACTAGAGAATGCCACAAAGTAGTAAGACAGTTGTTATACCGAAGCATACTTACTGGTTCTAAACTAGCAATAATTTGATTGTTCAGTAAAGCTAATCTACATTCTCAGTATTCTATGTCTGATTTTTTGCCCGTAAGAACAGGTTTAATATTTTACTTCTATTGTTTTATTGTTTAACTATTCAGTACTGCGATTCCTGCTGGACAACATGTCATGTTATCGTACCATTCAAAAGCTCGAGAAATTGTAACCGAAATCCACGATATTCTACGAAAGAACCATGTATCGGTTTGGTTCGATGAACGAGGAGATATGAAAGAAGATAATATGTATGAAAGGTATGCACTTCGAATCATATTGTCGGTGTGTATTCTTTCTTCTTACTGCTCTGCCGTTTAGCTTGGCTGTGGGAGTAGAAAATGCTGCCATCGTTTGTTGTTTTCTGACATCGGACTATGAAATATCTCGGACTTGTAAACTAGAATTAGAATATGCGCACAAACGACACAAGCCAATTATTCCATGTATACTCAATGAAACACAACTCGGAAAGACTTCTGGCTGGTTGAAATCAGTAACTGAAAATGTCAAATGCATCGACATGCATCCTACCTCAGACTCAAATGTTCAATTGAAAGCAATAGAGCTCATTGATACGATCAATGAGCATCCTCATGTATCAAAATATCCAGCATCTCAATCAATCGATCAACCATCTTATCTATTCGAGATGATTAAATACAACTATATATCCAATAGTCGTATCGAACGTTTCATAAATCCGTCCATATCTTATCCGATCGACCAAAGTTACATAAATCTAGCTATAGTAGAAACCAAAGAACAACACGAAAAAGAAAAGAAGCTTCACAATATTCAAAACAGCAATGCAATCATGAATACATTTGAACAGATTTATAGCACCAAGACTCCAATCGATGTTAAGGATCTTTTTAAAACATGCAAAGATCAAAATAGAAAGATGCTCGTGTTTGGTCGAGCAGGAATTGGAAAATCAACATTTTGTCGATATGTCGCTTATCAATGGGCAACAGGAATAATTTGGTCTGAATATGAATTAGTTATCCTTCTTCCCTTACGTTCTCTAACAGCAAATCACTATCCACCTGGCATCACTTATTCACTAATTGACATTGTGGAAAAAGAATATTTCTCTTGTCCCTCTTTATCAGAAAAAGATAAAAGTTTTTTGCAACAACAGTTTAATAAAAGCCGCATTCTATGGCTGCTGGATGGTTACGATGAAATAGTGCAAAATATACCTGCACATTTACAACGTTTACTTGAACAGTTGTGTAAGGCTCCGCATCACATCATTACATCTCGTCCATACATGAACAGTTTGTCGTATCCTATGCATATGGAAATTACAGGTTTCACCGATGAAAACATTCCCAACTATATCAACCAATTTTTTGGTGAAGTAGAAAATGGGTCACACTATTCATACACAGAACATAACGGAGTACTAAGCTTTCTCAAACGGAATCCTAGAATTTGGGGTATTGCACACATTCCCATCAATCTAGAACTCATTTGCAGTGTTTGGAGTAATACAAACTGGTCAACAACAAAAAGAATGACGATGACAACACTGTACGATAACTTAATTGAATGGATTTGTCGTCGTTATTTAGAGAAGCAACAAGGAACTCCAATCGAAAAGATTAATTTAATGTCTAAAAAGTGTGTTTATGAAAACTGCAGGAATGAACTGGCATTCTTAGAAAGTCTAGCTTTTCACGCGATGGAAAATAACACTATTCTTCTAGATCCAAAATTACTAGAAGAAGCCGAGAAAGAGACTAATTGCTACTTAGATGAGCATAAAAATTTACTTAACATTGGAATACTCAAATCATTCACTCAATCTGGCGTTGGAACACGAATCGAAGTAGTCAGAGACCATCATTTCGTACATCTTAGCTTTCAAGAATATTTTGCAGCTGGTTACTTAGTCGATGCTCTTCGACATAACCACAATAAAAAAGGAATTGAATTCATTAAACATCAAAAGTACAACCAATGGTTTCGATTAGTCTTTATGTTTACGTCCGGCTTACTACATGAGAGTCGTGACAACAAAAGCATCGATATATTCTGGAATGCGGCTATTGGTAAACCTTTGGATTTAGTTGGTATACGTCACATGGACTTCGTAATTTCATGTTTTGACCAAGCAGATGTTAATCAAACTTTTGCTTGTTATGATCGACTGATGCATTCTATTATACGATGGATCGAACGAGCTTTCAGGATAAAACAAGATATCTTACGCCAAGCTTTACTTCGAACATTTCGATTATGTACTACAATCTTAAACCAACCACCGATTCAAACAACATTGCTCAAATTATTAAAAAACGAACAAACAACCAATATCACTGAGATGCTATCATTCATATCCAACATACAAATCAGCAATCCTATGCCGGCATTGATCGATAAAGTTCTCCTCAGACTGAAACATTCCGACTACCATATCAGATGTAGTGCATGTGAGGCTCTCCGTGCGATGGGCACAAAAGCACCAACCACTGAGATCATCCGTGGACTTCTCGGTGCATTTAAAGACGAGAACTTCTATGTCAGAATTAGTGCATTTGATGTTCTCCGTGAGATGGGTGAAGAACCAGCATCGAGTGAAGTGATGAATGGACTTATCGGCGCACTTAAACACGACAACTCCGACGTCAGAAGTAGTGCATGTGATGCTCTCTGTGCGATGGGTGAAAAGGCAGCAACGAGTGAGGTAATCAGTGAACTTCTCGGCGCACTTAAAGACGAGAACTCTGACGTCAGAAGCAGTGCATGTGATGCTCTCCGTGCAATGGGTGAAAAAGTAGCAACGAGTGAGGTGATCAGTGGACTTCTCGGTGCACGTAAAGACGAGGAATTCTATTTCAGAAGTAGTGCGTGTGATGCTCTCTGTGCGATAAGTGAAAAAGCAGCATCGACTGAGGTGATCAGTGAACTTCTAAGCGCACTTAAAGACGCGAACTCCGACGTCAGAAATAGTGCATGTAAGGCTCTCCGTGCGATGTGTAAAAAAGCTGCATCGATTGAGGTGATCAATGGACTTCTCAGTGCACTTAAAGACGAAGACTCGTATGTCATATGTAGTGCATGTAAGGCTCTTGGTGCGATGGGTGAAAAAGCAGCATTGAATGAAGTGATCAGTGAACTTCTTAGTGTATTTAAAGACGGGGACTACTATGTCAGACGTAGTGTATGTGATGCTCTGCGTGCGATGAGCGAAAACGCAACATCGAAGGCGACGATCAGTACACTTCTCGTTGCACTTAAAGAGAAGGACTCCGATGTCAAAATTAGTGCATGTGATGTTCTCCGTAAGATGGATCAAAAAGCAGTATCGAGTGAGGAGATTAGTGAACTTCTGAGTGCACTTAAAGATCAGAACTCCGATCTCAGAAATAGCGCATGCGACACTCTTGGTGCAATAGGCGAAAAAGCGGCAACGAGTGAGGTGATCTGTGAACTTCTCTGTGCACTTAGAGACGGGGACTCCTATCTCAGAAATAGCGCATGCTACACTCTCGGTGCAATGGCTGAGAAATTAGCAACAAGTGAGGTGATCAGTCAAGTTATGACCATACTGGTTGATGTATGGGAGATGAGTAGAATCAACACCAGAGATGAGTCGCAAGGTTTTCTTAGTTTGCTCTCTGCAATAGCAGTGTTTTGTGACAAAAAAGACGTAGTTGTGGATGCTGCAGGACCCTTTAAGAGGTGTTTTGAGACAAATTTGATTTCAGCACAGAGACTCTTGAAAGTTTATATGGATACCGCTGACCCGAGATGGCTACCTGCCGTTGTTGGTGCATTTCTTGTCACTCAAAATGCTGTTACCGTCGTCGGAAATACATTACTAGTTTATGAAGAACAAGTGGTTGTCGAAATACCATTTACTCAGCACAATTTGGTAGATAAGCTTCACAAGGTATTTGATAAACAATCGCTCAAAATTGACTATAAAGTTCGAAGATGTTGCAGTTTACTATGACATTCAAAAAGGTTGCAATTTATGGGAAAAGCGGAAGTTAGATGAGTTTAGTGAGACCAAAGAATGAATAAACAAATGAACTCATCTATCTACCGCAAGAATCAATCTGCTAACTTTAAGTTTTGTGTTTCATTATTCGATGTTTTGTTGGAATTCATTGAAAATAGTCTCGTGATTAATAAAAATGAATGGAAAGTTCATCTTCTCCGGCATGTTTCATGTTATTTATTTGAAAATAAAAATATTGATCATGAGTCTGCTTTACAGTTTTAAAGAAAATGAACGCATCATAAAAGAGCGAGACTAAGCCGCCATAATCTGTATTTCGCTGCAACTAAGGAGATTGTCATGTGACTTTGAAATACAATTCCAATTAGTTTTAAAACCAAAATCAAGATGTTAAAGAGTGAGCCAAATTCCTAATCGTTTTTATAAAACTTGCTCGTTCTTTCGCATTCCAACATCAAACACGTTCAAAATTAGATGTCTATCTCTTTGTAATTAGACGAATCTTATTATAAATTTTGTGCTCTCTAGTCCTTATTATATGGGAAATATATTCAATCGTATGATGAATCAGATCTTTTTTCCTTGTCTCAAAAGGAATCTAGGACAGTTGCTAGCGGCACTTTTGCTCGTCGGACTTTTGCTCGCTAGGCACTTGCTCGTGGACACTTGCTCGCCGGATATATGCTCGCGGGACATTTGCTTGGCTCCATACAAAAACGGACACTTGCTCGCCAGAGAGTCGCTCGCTATACCACGTGCTCGTTAAATATTTATGCATCGTTTCTCACATGTAACAAAACTTTATCTAGTTGTTGTTAGCATTTTTTTTAAGTGGGTGTGGGTGGGTGTGAGTGTCTATTCAGGAAAGAGGAACTCATCTACACCCAAAGCAATGCCCTCATGCACACCCAAACCTACAACCACACCCACATCAGCACCCACACACGCTCACCCTCACCCACACCCTCATTACGTAATGTAGCGACTTTTAATCCGACTAACTGTGCATTTTATTTGTAAACGAACAAGAAAAGTTGTTATATATACTCATCATCATTCACATCAATAAATAATTTCTAATTTTCTTATAATCACACATATAAAAAAAAAATTTAGAAAACATCATTGTACATTTTGTTTGAAAAAAAAAACAACGAAGAAATATTTTAAAACTTATAAACACAGTCGTTTATTTTTTCGTAAAAGAAAATAGTAGAGTAATCGTCAGAGTTATTAAGATATATCTCATATAACATAATTCCTGGTACTTTTTATAAAATAAATGATTATCCACATCCTTGTGAATTTTCTTTTTCTAACTAAAACACATCTGTTCTATTTCACATTGATTTTTCTGATTCTAACTCATAATCGAAGGTTAAAGGATAATGTACGTTAAAATAATCGGGTACCCGTCCAAATAATGACTTCTGTATGGTGTGGCACTTTCGTATCAGGTGATTATTTTCTTATCATGAGCCAGTTTTTTTTCTAATAGGATACTGAATATTCAGTGAAGCAGGCGATTTCTTTTGAGGAATAAAAATATACCTATAAACCAAATCCTATACAGCTCTTCATTAGACTTGAGATTATCACACATCACACTCGGCCTGTTCTCTTTTTCACATTAAATCCCGTCTGAAAAAGGTAAGGATAAAAACAAATATTAATCGCTTAAAAATATTAAATAGGTAATGATATTATTTTTCACGTGCAACGCATCATATCATACAAAATTATATTTATTATCATGAATAATATAAAAAATCTCTTTATCTTATGACTAATTTAAGAATAGACATAGCATAAGTTATCGTTATTGTGTAATATTAAATTAAAATAAACTAGAATATATTCTTTATATTTATTAAATAGGAATACATAAAAAAAACAATCTATCATTCTTTTACTGATGTACATGATATACATAAACTTATTACGTCACAATTTCTTATGAAACATTTGAATGAATAGAAAAGGTTTTGTTTTTATTCATTCGTTGTTATAAAAG